ATCTATCTATCTATCTATCTATCTATCTATCTATCTATCTATCTATCAATATACGGCAACTTTTCATGACTATTTCTTCCCAACTTTTCCTCATGTTTATTTATATTTGTATATAAACATATATTTTTTATATATGTTTTACAAAAGCTGGGAAGAAAATAGTCGTAGAAATAGTCCTGAAAAGTTTCCAGTCCTGAATAGTCCTGAAAAGTGTTGAGTCAGCTCAGACTTTGGCTAATGTTTGTTCCAACTCCCTGTGGTCAATATTTGTACTCTGACTCCTGAAATCTCACTGACCTCAGTGTCCACAATCTCTGTGTTCCAGCCAAAGATTTGAACACAGATACTTGTTGGAGTTCGGATCCACCCACATGGGAGCTTTGTTTGTACTCGACTGGACGGCTGAAAGTGGCTTCATTTTTGTTCCATTCTTGCTTGACAAGACATTTTTAACCTGTAAAAACTTGTGGATAACTTCTCACCTATGGGTGGCCCACTTGGTCACAAAAAAAAGAACCGATTTACACAAAAACTTTAACGGAAAAGCTATTGTGGTTTGACGTTGCAAAGTAGAATTAAGACAATAAATAAAAAATGAGTTCAACAGTAACAGATGTCCCCTCCTATGGTAGAAAACTGGAGATCAGAGACACTATTAAGTCCTCAGTGTTGCCCGAGGGGGGGTAGAAGAAGACCCCACATCTAAAGGCACACTTAAATAAAAACGTCCAAATAAACTGACCACAGTACCAACGTCCCCACATTTTTCTTAAAGAAGCCTCCATCTGGAAATGGCTTCAGAGGCTCTGTTGCTTCATATTTGTTCCATTCTTGCTTGACTAGAGACTTTTAACCTGTAAAAAACTTGTTGATAACTTCTCATCTATGGCTGGCCCACTTGTTTTTTTAAAAAAAAGAACCGATTTCGACAAAACTCAAGGACATTCTTGAATTCAATGCATTTATTTAAGGGAAAAGCTATTTTGGTTTGATGTTGCAAAGTAGAATTAAGACAATAAATTAAAAAATGAGTTCAACAGACACAGATATCCCCTCCTATGGTAGAAAAACGGGAGATAAAAGTCACTATAAAGTCCTCAGTGTTGCCCGAGGGGGGGTAGAAGAAGACCCCACATCTAAAGGCACATTTAAATGAAGTCTTCCAAATAAACCAACCACAGTAGCAACGTCCTCCCCTTTTATCTTAAAGAAGCCTCCATCTTGAAATGGCCTCAGAGGCTCTGACACCTTCCATTTGAAAATCCTACTTTCTCCTTTGTTTGCTGTAACCCATACACCGCTCGGTTACCTGAACTTGAGGTAGGCGGGCAGGGAGTAGTTGAAGAGCAGGAAGTCCATGCGGTAGAGGTTGTAGAGCTTCCTCTGGTAGAAGGGGCTGATGTTCTGGAAGAACTGGGCGGCCATGTCCCCGGTGGTGCGGGAGTCCTGCTCCAGCGTCTCGTACTTCCCCACCACGTCGTAGTGGACGAGGTTCCAGACAAAGATTTGAACAAAGATACTTGTTGGAGTTCGGATCCACCCACATGGGAGCTTTAGTTTGTACTCGACTGGACAGATG